CGCAGATGACTTTACGATAGCTGGATGGGACCTAACAGGAGGGCCCAGCAGTAAAATATACCACTGAATGTCTCAAGATGTCAGCTAATGACGATCAGAACTAACAAGAATATATGAAGGAGCCTCTTGATACAAAGGGTCCGCGAAGCAACGAGTCTAGGCATAGTGGTAACGCGGGACTTTAAACCAAGCACCCATTGTCTGAAGGCGGCAAACAAAGCCAGGGGACAACCTTTTCGTGTATATGCGGCCATGACGGCCAGAAAACCGCCATACAAGTATATCGTCCGCCCGATTCTGGGATACTGTGTGCAGGCTTGAGCTCCTTATCGAAAAGACACTGAAACACTAGAGCGAGTTCAACGTCGTTCTAAAGATGATAGCTGGGTAACGAGGGAAAAACTATGAACAGTGACACGGGGGTCTGAATCTGTTCCGCGTCAAGCGGGGTCGGATAATGAAAGATTTGAGATCTTCAGGGGTATATCAGGCCTGAGGTTTTACCACCTTCGTTCCGTATAGGGGCACGAGGTTCCATAACCTACGTCACGACGACTGCTCCTTGTTTTGGTGTGATAGTTTGTGCACCTCTCTGAACCAACGCGCTATACAGGATAGCTTTTGTCAAACCGAACATCTAATCATGCCTGAAAGGTCGCAGGGTAGAGGGCAGACTACGTTCAGTCTCCTGCTCCTCCAAGTTGGGGGTCCCCCCCGAATTACCATTTCACTCAGTAAAAAAGTGGCGGAGTAAGCAATCAAAGCAAATAGGCCTTCACTTCGCTTTATCCGCTGTCTTGCGGTCAAGTTCGAGTTAGAACCAAAGGCTTTAGTTGAGAACCCTTATCGTTGTTCTGCTTNCCAATGCATGCATAAGTAGAGCATAAATTCGTACTGCATCGCCAGTCGCGCAGGATAGTCAGGCCGGTGCTGCCCATTGAATCGAGCGAAGTGATAAGCGGGCTACTGCTCAGATATCACAACCCTTGTTTATTTCTGTCTTGCGTACCCAGCCTTCTATACTTTTCCCGTCTTCCGACCTGTAATAGTACCTCCAGCAACCCTGGTGTCGCTCACCAAAAGTCGTTTCCAATTAGTACTTTAAATAATTTACGTCGAAATGAATTGCAGAAGCTAAAACGTCGTCAATCACTGAATCTGGGGGCATTCAAATTGCGAAGTCTTATGTAGGCAGGTCAACAAGCTCCATAGGTGAACGCGGAGTGGGTGTTGTACTCAGCAATGGAACTGAAGCCTATCCTGTCGATTGGATCGCAGTCAACAGTCGTTTATGTGCGCTGTCTCCAGGGTTTAATCAGCATCCAGAAGGGAGCAACACAAAAAGATGTATGTTCAACATATCGGAATACGCATTTCTGACACAAAAGGACGATTTCTACGATAAACCCACCAAGCTCATTCGGTTGAGTCGAAGCTCCGGTGTAGTTGTACTTGCATCTGACTTTAATGTGCAGGGTGGGAAAATGAGTGCATCAAAAGCTTTCCTATGCTGTAGTTGCGTTCTGCCCTACCAGCGATCAGATAACGGCGATCGACTTGTTCAGTTCTGCGCAGACCATCATTTGTTCCTGTCAAGCACCAACTTCCGACAAAGCTGTCGACAACATGGCGCCCCAGTTCAACTGGTGCGTTAACTCAAATCGATCACCTAGAAGTAGGTTACCGTTGGCCTGATAATGCAAAATTGCAGGTCCTATTGGATCACTTGCGTCTGATCACGCATTAGTTTCGATGCAGTTCACTCTCCGACTTAGTGGTTGGCGACAGAACCGGTAAACTCGGATAGCTCCTCATAACCTCTGTTCCAGCAGTTCGCATAAGTTGAGTCAAAGCTAATGCGTGAGGTATGCGCGCTTCAACGTGATGGTAGATGAGCAGATTAGCCAAGCAATGCGTTCGACAGCGAAATTTGATTGCGGATCTGGGCTTCATGCCCGTCGGAGGCGTTGGATATTTCAGGAGTCAGTAGCCCTGACAAATTCTGACCTGCGTGGCATCTGCAACGTCAGCTCAAGAAGGATCATAGAAACTGGTGGTTAGCAATAGCTACCGAATAACGCAACTAAAGCATATGGTGTCGGCTGTTACGTATGCGCCCTAAGTGTCCTAATCAGCGAATCTCACTGACCCAGATTCGTTTGGGCAAGGAATTTTTCACTAAGACACCCAACCACATGATGGCTGAACCCAGTGTTGCTAACCCATTCGCTCCACTCTGCTTCATCCAAATGGCAGTCCAGGGATAGCAACCGAAACCGGAGCAAGAAAGTGAATGGTTATGCAAAAGGAAACTGAATGGGGAGCCGACGTCAAAGTGCATCAACATGGACGGTAGAAAATCGGAAGGTCTCATAATCGTGAAAGGAAAATGACCGCACGATGGCACATTATACGCAACCTTTCAAATTTAACGGAGTATCACTTCGACGCTATAGGCACTTTATTTCAATACCCGCCTGTCGAGGCTTGGATATGCGTGTGGTAATATCTCTCTCTGATATTACCATCTGTGATACAAGTCAAGGTAAGAGAAGCTATCCACCATTATCAACTTGTGATCATTAATCTTGAGAGTATGAGTAATTAACACCGAATGTTGCAACATCATTGTACACTTTAAAGGTGCAAAAAGGCATACTGGCAGCGAGCCGATGGCATTGACATTCTTGTTTTTATTTTCGTCAAATTAGAATGCTCAAGAAGATACATGTATACGGCTGGTTTGTTTGTGTGTGAAAAGAGTATCAACCATGAGCTGGTAGAATGTCTGTTGGGACACATTCCACCTCTAATCATTATCAATAACCGAACTCACATGGCTTCGAAAAGCTGAGGCATACATCAGAGAACGTACCAGCAGACAGGCTAAGTCAGGTTGGGGGTAGCTGAGGCCTGAGAAGCTCATCACGACGAGCGGCGTGCGAATACAGCCAGTCCTTAGTGAGTGGATGAGATCCATCCAACGGCCATGAACGAAATCGATCTAACAGGGTACACAGACCATTGGGTTACACCTCCATAGATTACGCTGGTTGGGACATGTGCTACGCATGTCACCAGATAGGTTGCCACGGCGAACGGGGTTTGCCAAGGCTGGTAGTGATTGGCAAAAAACAAAGGGTGGTCAAGCTAAGACGTGGCATGAGGGTATGAAAACCCTAACCAGTAGACTAGGTCACATAGGCCCCGTTAGGCTCCCTGGCTGGGGACCTCGGGATGATCGTCACCGATGGTTAGCTACATTGAGTAATATGGCTGGGTGTCGCAAATAGTGGCGCTCGTGCATCCACTCGTTATTTTTCTTACACCACTCTGTATGTACTCCCCATCTTCCGCTTGAATTTGCTTCGACATTCCAATCTTCATTTCGCTCTTTTATCCAAATGGGCAACCAAAACCGGCGCACGAAAGTGCATGGTTAATGGTTGTAAAACTGAAACTAATATAGTGGAGGACTATTCAGCTTCTGTGAAAGTATCGGCGACGTCCAAAAGGCGTCTGCCTTGTAGTTCGTACGCCGTGGAACAAAGACTAAAGACGAGTCCGCAAACCCCAATGAACTTCGTGAAGCCCTCTTTCTAAAGAAACAGCCCTAATAAAGTAAAATGTTTGTACAACTGGGTTGTGTTAACCGTGTGCGCTCACTTTCTCTACCACTTCTTAAGACAAGTGTGTTCTGTGTTCGCCTTACACGTTCACACTTGTTTTGCATGCATTATGAGCTTGACAGAAAAGTTCACTTCATGACTTTGTTGAGAGACTACATCAATATGGCCGTGGTTTCCCAGTGCGGTAACTTAGGTGCACTATTATTTGGACGAACTTTTGAGATGAAAAGACAGAAACTAGTTTGACGCGCATGCTATAGTGATCGTCGGAGGTTGATCTAACTTGAAACATGAGGGACCTTCATTCCGGTGTTATGATGCTGAGATCGTAGATACAAGGACTTACATTTCTCGATTCAATGATGTTATGCAGATGTTTTGGTATCAATTCGTGCACAAACTTCCTACAGATAAATTTTTGTGAATATGTGACGGTTTCACTGCTAACGTTCATTTCAGATACAATTGAATGAACGTCAACACAGTTCACGTAAAATACCACTGTTTCAACTATGGGATTTGTATCCTTCACCGGATAACCAACAACACTTCACCACTGGAATGCCTAAATTGTCTGTGTCCGCCAGAATGGAGTGGTAAACGATGTGAGAACCGGATTGCTTTTCCGAAGGACTTTCCAGAGCCAAACTGTCCACCAAGCGTCATCCTTATTGTGCTTTTGACAATCGCCTTATTCATGTGCTTTGTGCTTACTCTGCGCTTGTTGTACAACTCTGGTGTAATTCAAAAGTGGTTGACAAACATTCGACTTGCAGACCTCCCTGTGTCGTACATCCGCACAAAAGACGAGTCTCTCACATAGATGCCCATTTTAGTTTTTCGAAGACGTGGGTTTGTGAAACTTACCTTCTCCAGAGACCTTAAAATCGGATGCCTGCTTTGTTTTGTTTTCTATCTGTGTTTCGAATCCGAGTGACTTACTCCCGAAATTTCAAGATTTATGTTATTTGGTGTCATCTTTAATTCAGCTTTCTATACAAGTCTCCCTGTTCTTTCTGACATGACAGGTGAATCTTTCACCTCTGACAAAGTTCGTGGTTTGAACTAAGAGGCTCACTTGGTAAAGTTCCTTAATGCAATCCGGGGCTCAGTACTGACTTGATCATGCCATACGGCAACTCTGAGGAAGAAATATGCATCAGCTACCAAATCCCAAATCATAGTTTGCAAAAGTAAAAACGCTCTCACGGATTGTAAGAAATTAATTAGGCATCTGATCAGAGTTAATGACAGCATAGGGACACGCTTAATAATCATGATCACAATAATTGACAAGAATGAAGCCAAAGTCAAGTCGTCATTTAAGAAAGTTCCGTTATTTACCATCACCAAAGATCTGTACACAAGCACCTAGCGTTTGGTCACAAATTCACGACAACACCCATAGTGTTCCAGTTCACCAGTGGTTGGATAACGTGCGAAGGCACTGTTTCCAATACGACGACGACAAGTGCGACACCTTGCTCCAGGCATGACCAAAAATTGTCTGCCAGTCGTTCGCACTAAATCCGTGCGGGATGCAATCATTTCGGTTTGAGCGGCGTTGCGAAGAAAGACCAGTTGGGTAAGTAGTGTTTCCTGATAGAAGAAGGTTGTCTGGGAAGGAGGAGGTAAAATGTGGGACAAGTACCGAGATAAAATCTATCAATATAAAAGATTTGGCAATTAGGTGCATCTACCGGAACACCGGTCGTATACACATACCTGAGGAGCGGCAATCACCAAGGAACTGGTTGCGTTGTTTTTCAATGAAGCTTAAATTTCAGTAAAAGAAAGAAACTATACACGCCAACCATCACACGAAACATTTAAATGGCGGAACTTCGTTACAATCACGTAATACCCATTAAGGTTAATCTTGTACTTTAACTGTAACAGTAGGTAATAAAGTTAATCCCAGTTGAGATTCGTTGGAGGAAATAAGACATTTTCCAGGTTTACACTGTAAAAACTATAAAAGTCAAGACAGGCATCAAACGGGCCAGATGAACAGATGTTTAATTGAACAGCTGACAAATTGGGAAAAACTTATTTATTACAACGCGTCAGATTTATTCACCGCAAAAACACGACTGATAAATCAAAAAAGGTAGCAAAACAATTCTTTGGCCATTCCAAAGAGATTCCAGCTACTATAAATCCCCAAACTTACTCGCTCCACATTAAGTTCCGCTGGGGCCTCTAGGGTGAATGGACGTTGCACCACATCACCATCATGACCATGGATAAAACTGATCGGGCGGTAGTTTCCACAATCGTTGCGACATCCTTTCTTGAAAATGGGAACGATCAACGATTCACCCCAAGATAAAGGAATGTGTTCTTGCGTCCAAATGTTGCGCACTAAGGTAGTAATACAGCTTACGAGGTTATCACCCTCCCCCATCTTGAAAACCATCACGACGAGACTGCACCTTGACGTGGTGTGATGGCTTGCGCGCCTCAGCGACCCTGCGTGCTACACAGGATGGCTTCTCACAGCCGTAGATCCGATCATGCCTGAAATTTCAACGGGTACAGGTCAGACGAAGACCAGTCTCACAAGGCCAGCTGCTTGGGCACCTGGCCTCCTTTTTTCCTTGTATCCATATCCGTCCCTGGAGAGGCCACTCCAGCAAATAAACACGGACAGAGGCAGTTTACCGGTCGAAAACCCCCGCTAGATGGACATAGGAGCGGGGTACCTCGGGCTTCTCGACGGTGGGAGATGTCTTCGCACTTCATTGGACAGCTACCACCCACCCAAGCTGGGCAGCCCCCAGCCAATAAGGTGCTGTCCCGTCCACGTTCCGCTTGTCTCATTGGGTGCATAAGGCTCAGTGCTGATCCCGAAAAGCGGACCGATAATCAACGCACCAGCGAACAACAAAATTAATCGAAATTCAAAGGCCTTGCGTGACAGATCTCCAGAAGCTCCCACACGGGTGTTTCGTTCACGCTCCCGCGTTGGATTTACGCTCCACTGTCTTGTAGGTCAGACTCCTAAGTCAAAGGCTCCGGTTAGGGCTCCCAAAGAAAAACCCCTTCGTCTGTGTGGGCTACCGCGAAGTATGCCGTGTCCTAAAGTCTTAGGCACCCATTTGGAAAACGACCCTTCCGTTCCGACTAGTTCTTCTCAACCTCGATTAATCCCAGATGCTTCCTGTTTACCCCGAGGAACCTTCCTCCGGATGCGACATACGACACAGCGAGCAAATCCCT